ACGTTAAAATAAACCAGATAAAAGTCTTAAAGATTTCAAAGTAAACAGTTATAAAAAGCGTAAACACTTGAATCCAAACATCCAAACTAAAACTAGGTTTTAAACGCAACACCGAAACACAAAGGCACAAAACACTACATGAAGAACCGATTGTGAATATAATAGAATAATAATGCAGAAATCGGCAAAAAACTGAAACAATTTCACACAAAAATCCGAATTTACAAATACAAAATTCAAAGATCCGAATCTGGATATTTTTATATGTCAAATCGAAATGTCATGTATCAATATTTGGTAGTTGCCAGGAAACAGCGGAAAAAAGAAGAGATCTGGGGATTTCTGGGGATTTTATTTTTTTTCGACTGGTGGAAATAACGGTCAAAATTTAAACTCTATCGTGAATATGACTATACTATATGGTAATATCTATTATTTAGCAAAGGTTTCGAAAAAAATACGTTATTAATACCAAACCTGAAGTTTTTCGAAAAAAAATTTTATAGTTAATTTCTTAATATTTTCAAATAATTTATGTAGTTTTAGAGTGAAAAAATTAATTTTGCAACAGCCCTAAAGGCAAGGAATCAAAATACTGCAAAATACTGCTTACTTGGCTTACCCTGTATATTTTGATTTGATATTTTTTCTACAATTAAGGAAAGGCCCCCGTAATATACATATGAAATTTCACAAAAATCCGCCAAATAAAAAAAAGTTATTCAGAGCCAAATTGGGTTCCAAATAAATTTGGCCCACAGTGTATACTCCCAGTTCACTGCATATAAGTCACGTAAGAATTCATTGTAATCAAAATTTCTAAAGTAACGATACCTTTTGAATAAGGGAGGAGGTTTGCCTTTTACATACATAATTTTGAAAGTAACTAATTTATGATCAGAAATGTCAGTGAACTCATACGTTCCACTACTCTCAACTCAAGACGAATCACTACAGACCAGTAAATCTGAAAGAGTGCTGGAGTGTGCGGGAACCCGAGTTGCGTCAATGACACACTGTTTCATCCCGTATTTATTGAAAATATTTTGAATTTGGAAGGAACCAGGACTATTTACGTCAGACATGTCCATCTTAAGGTCAAGCAATAAAATCAAATTCAGGAATAAAATTCACCAGAGTGTCCTCTAGGGAGTCAATACATTGATTTAGGTTAGAGTTGGGAGGTCTATAGACTGTTCCTAAACGTATCCTTTTACCACCCTGTCTTACGGAGATCCAGACTTGTTAAAGGTGAGAAATGACGTCTTGAGTATATGAAGTAGAAAACTTAATACCATTATTGACGAAGAAGACAACACCTCCCCCCGCCCATCCCCGCCCCGCCTGACTAAGCTATAATTGATCAAATCAACACCCGTATTAACAACAGAGGTTCTCAACCATGTCTTCGAAAAACCAACAATATTAAAAAAGTGGTCAGTCATCATTTCAGAAAAAAAAAAATCAAACCCAGGGCACAATGAACGAACATTAAAATGGCAAAAAGTTATAAATTCTTCACGCATTTGGAATCCTGCAGTACATACTCTGGTAAAATAGCCAGTGAAGCAAAAGTAAATGCTGGTAGATAAAAAAAAAACAAATCTTAAGTGACCATTTGATAGTTAAATTTATACATTATTATCAAAACAAAATGGAGAAAAATTAAACAATTATTAAAAAATATTAAAAACCCAAATAAACTATTATATCTTAGACTTAGAGTAGATAAAAAAAAATAAATAGGTACTAAAATATTTCAGTTCACATCTACAAAACAAATTCAGATACTATAGTCCTACACCATCGAGGGAACCGCATGGATTATTGATTTTGTAAACATAAAATAGGATATAGTAAAAGTGAATTAGTTTATTAGTTTAGTTTATTTTATTTTTCTTCCATCTTCACTCCAAACAACGTTACTACCACCCAATGACCAAACCTTGTTTTTGCCATACTTCTTCTTAGAATATATAGAATATTCAAGTTTCCAGAAAACTAATTTAAATAAAATGTATTGATAAATATGGTCAGCTTCTGCTCAAAGAATAAATTCAATAAATTCAACATGCACCTGTATGAAATCAAAAGTTTTGTTAAATGGTCAGGAGATATAATAGAAATCCCTCAAATATATAAGTTATATTTCCCAAGTTAAAAATTGATCAATTTTCGACGTTGTAGGTATACTTACTAGAATAACTTCAAATAATTTTAAATTTAGAACATGTTGTCCAACCTTGACTTCAGCTCAGATTACTGATTAACATTGATAAAATATAAGTAAATTCCTTGAATATGCCGGTACTGAAAGTTAACTAGAGATAAAATCTATAGTAAATACGGTACATCAAAAATCGAAAATAATTATTTAAACTTCACTATGGTGTCAAGAATGTGAAATTGAAATTTCAAATATTTAAATGTCATATCAAGAAAAAAAAATCAATTAATTTTGTTAACTAATCATAAAGTAGATTTCATAAAAAAAAAGGTAATTGAAGTTATAAATGAAACTCTAAATTAAGCCGTTTTCTCGCGGCCACTTTTCTGACATTGGTTCGAAACATTTTTTGAAACGGCAATGGTGTTACCATTGCCCTGTTTTGAAAAAAGTGGACGCGAGAAAACGGCTCAAGTCTCCATTCCAACAAAAAGGTAGTAGCCATCCATTTTCGGTCACTTGACGAGGAAAGTCGCAAATGGATGATGCAGATTCTAGCCTGGAGTCGAGGCTAGAAGTTCAGTTTTCTTCGTCAAATGTGGGCTAGACGTATCGACTCGTGAGAAGATTGATTCCTCTAGGATATCACTTCAAGAGCTCTATGTCCAGAGATCTGGGCTTGTTGAAAATAGATTCCTTGAAAAAACTACTTCCCGGAGAAACAGCTCCTCGGAAAAACGGATTCTCGGAAAAACAGCTCCTCGGAAAACCCTAAGTTATCAGAGGCATTCCATGAATAACCATTACTTAAAAAAAAATTGAAAAGGACTTACCACGAGGGGCTTCGAAATTCAAACTTGAATAAAACGGTAATCAAGAGACTTTTGATTTAAATTTTTTCAGTTATCAACGGAACTTTGCCTTGCGCAACTTTGTTTCGCCTAACTAATGCCTGATGGCCGATAAGGTACTTTTTTTACGAGAACGGTAATCAAACACAGTTGAGGAAGATGGCTGCCTCCTAGGTCAGAGTCGACCTTTCAGGGCGAACGACAAAATTTAAAAGGGACGAAGAAAAGAACAAGCTGAACAAGCAGAGCTTCCCTTCGAAAAATAGCCAACGGAAAGTGTTGGTACTAAGCTGGTACTTCAAACTTAAACGAAAAACATGCTCTCTAGTTTAATAATTGCTAATATCATTAGCTGCAGAAACCTTTTTTTTTAATGCTAGTCACCAGACTTTCTTATAGTTTTCTATTTCGTTTCATTAAGTCGTAAGTACTCTAGGCATCTCTTTGTTTTTGTCGTACAACTTTTTCATACTGATTGAGTTGATACCTGTAATGGTTCCAGTCCTCAGTTCATTTTATAGGATTTTATGATAGCACCTTGGATGGTATTGGGTTAACTGCAACCTTTCGCAGAGCCCATTCCAGACCTTGCACATAGAGTGCAGTATTGGTTTTTCTGAGGGTCACGATAAGGTTTTGTGGTCTTATTGGAGCAGTTTGGTGTGAAAGTTTTCCATCGGTGATCCATCATAGATACTTCATCAGATATGCGCCAATTATGGATTGAATTTGATATCAATATTGAGCATATTACAGTTTGACTGCGAGAGTTTAAGAAAGTTGGTATTGTGCTGTTATTACATATAAACAGATCATTATCTTTTATAAATCTATACATAGACTTACCTCTTGGATTCACATCCTGACTTTCCCATTTGATGTGGTTTGACTTGGAATCACAACCAATCACCAGTGCCTGACCAGTTCTACAAGGTCCTTGTTGGTTGGTAGCGTCTTGGCATCTATGAGGAGATATGCTGAAGCCAGGACGATGGCTTTTTTTACCCACTGTTGTTCTGCATCAGTTCGACCTGACGGCGCAAATTTTTGAGGCTTTTGACCTGTGTTTTCTTCCAATTTGAGCGCCGGAAGTCAAACTCCAAAGTACATCCGTAAATTACTGTAATTAGCACTAGATTGAGCCTCAATGAACTTTTCAAGCTCAAATCTAAATAAACTGTACATTTTCCGTTTATTGCCCTAAGTCACTTTAATTGGGAATTGAATTTGAAATAACATTTCTCCAGTAATGGAAAACTCGTGTCTTTGGAAGAAAAATAAAACTACTAATTTAAAAATTAATTTGTCTTCAAGTCAAAGCACGGAAAGCGCACAACAGAAAACGAAATAAATTAAATCGTAAACTTATTACTTCAAACTTCTACAAAAGCGCTTAAGCCAATTATTTTTCCTTTCGAATATAAACGGGAGCAAATTAAATGGAGGTCGATATTTAACTTAAAGCGACCGATTGATTGATTTCGAATTCTTTGTTTTGTTTTCAATTCAGGAAATAAGTAGTATAATCAAAAAAGCTTTTTATAATTTCAAACATTGCAAAATATGTGAATAAAATCTATATTTTCAGACAGTGTTATACAATATTTTATGCTACCTACCTATGATATGTACCTATAAGTATTCCATTAGTAAAAGTTAACAGAAAACTGAATAACTGTAATTATGGTAATGTTATTGAATCCTAATCTATGATCTATATAAGGGCTCACAAAACAACCTTTTTCTATATGGGTGATTATTAGGTTCAGATAAAGGCATTTAAATAATTTTTCCAATTCAGATAAAACGACAGGCATTACATGGCATGGACATTAAGCGATCCATATCAGGGGAAAATTATAGCCGCGGTATCCTTGACAAAACAATAACAAATGCTTATCTTAATTGAGGCATTAATGGGATATTATTTTTTCTATATAAATTACATTTTTGCTTTTTTTAAAAATTTCATATTGTTTCAGGAAATCCTCTGAAGGGCACCATGTATGGATCAGTGTAATAATGGGTGCCATGAGTATGATGGCCAAAGAAACTGGAATCATGGTATTTTTCATAAATTTGGGTTACGATTTTTACTTGCAGTGGCCAAATATTAAGAAGTAAGTAATCGGCTATTTATAAAACTTTGTCCTTAAGTTCAAAAGTTATATAATAATAAAAGTTCAACAGTTCAGAGGACTAAAAATGAAAGAAACTCGTTTCCTGTGAATTGTTGTAAAACAAAGTTTTATTTGGTTCATTAGTTCTTGAAATATTTGATGGCTTGAATTTGAAACTGTTTGGCATTATCAGTCTTATGGGCAATGTAAGAAGATTGCCGAGTTTTTTTTAATTTTTTCCCATTGTTTGCTACTGCGGAATATATAATTCTGGTTATATTTAAAGCTTAATTTTGCTGATGAAAGAAGGGACAAAGTCTTTTGTCTTCTGAATAATTTCGTTTTCACGATCCCTCATAAATTTATTTTCATTTTATTCAAGCCTCCAACTCTCTTTTATGTGTACGCTTTAGTTATTTGAACTTTAACTGTTAGTATGCTTTCAATTCAGTTCACAGTTATTGTTAAACTAAAAACAACTACACTCTTTAAGTTTTCACCTAGAGAATTATTATCAAACCTTACTCACTTGCCATCATAATTCGAAAACATTCAAGAATTTCGAAAATATATTCAAATTTCATTTACTAAAAATGCCAGTAACGGAGTAGGTATTTTCCACCCAACCCTAGTTTTTCGTGATTGTTCTACTTTTCCTTATATTAACTTTATTATCAAATTCTTATCCTACATGACTCGTATACTAAATTCTAAACCAATATAGGTAAGCTTTCCTCTAACTTTATAAAAAGCACGGAGCCCGGGTAGTTAATTATAGGAGCAGATGTTCAATACCAAAAGCAGAAACTAGAAACAAAAGGAACAGGAGAAAATCCTCGTTTTTTCTAAATATCTTTGTTCTTTCAGCAATTTTTTTATTGGTGTCTCAGTTCCTTTTCTTTATTGTCAGTATTATTTCTTTAGAAATGTCTGTATAACCTGAGAAGGCTCGAAATTTCTCAAACGTGCCTCAAACTTTATCAACGTATTTACTATTAGTCATTAACTTACGGCAATAAGATTTCAGATGACACATACAAGCGTAGATATTTTGATATGTATTAAATTAAAAATTCCTATTGACCTTATTATTGCCTAAATTAAAAACAGTCCACTTTTCCAATTATTAACTTTAGATCATTAAAAAACCTAATTTCACCAAAAAATTTCTTCATCTGATTACAATCAGAAAATTGTCGAGGCACTTTAAAAATTTAAATTTATTTAAATTGTACCCTCCTCATCAACCATAGTCTAGAAAGTTTTCAACTTTTGATTCGTTTAGAGCGTTTTATTTATTTTTCCAGAACAATTAACGAGGTGCGGTGGAATCGGGAAACTTTGGAGTTTAGTTCGAGGGCGATACGAGTGCTGACGTCGGTAAGTAAATATCCAGGAATCGAATAATTTTGAATATAATTTATTTTCCGTATTTCAGACGGGGTTCATGTTGGCATTGAGGTTGGCTATTTTGCAAGGATCTTTGCCTAGATTTTGCGATCAAGATAATCCTGCCGCATTTCATAGTTCATTGTACGTGAGGTAAGAAAAAATCTATTAGCGATTATTTGGAACCAACGTAAAGTTATCTCATTGCAACTCTTACCGTTGAAATTTATCAATTATGCCCGAAAAAAAAAAGGTTATTGCCAAAAATATGGATAAAATGATATTGCCTCGGGAGCCCGGCTAAATTCTGAGAATGCCATTGTCTGCGCGTTGCGGAGAATTTAGTGTGTGCCGGGTTTTTCTAGATAAATCTCGAGTCCACTGTCTGCTATAAGTGCTATTAATAGCACAGATCTCACTTCCCTTTCAATGACTCTCGGCCTTCAATGGGTAAATTGAACAAGAGCTCCAAATGTTACCGCTGCGGAAGAAAAGGACATTTTAAACGTGACTGTAGAGTACAACTGAGATCTGCTCGCTCTCTAGAGGCATTCGATTGGATGCGGATCAAGAACAGAGTCCCGAACAGCTGGGAAGTATTAAAGTATCAACGCTTTCCGTTGTCCTTTTTTTTAGGGGAAGCTCTGTCTGTTCTTCTGGTCCATTTCGTTTCTCGCCCCCTTTTAAATTTTGGCGTTCGAGCTGAAAGGTCGATCCTGGGCTGAAAACCGTCATCTTCCTGAGACAACCGTGCTCGTGGAAAATAAAGTACCTTATCGGCCATCAGGCATTATCTTATCTGCGAAAGGCAATAATCCGTTGATTACCGAAAAAATTTAAATCAAAAGTCTTGTGATTACCGTTTCATTCAAGTTTGATTTTCGAACCCCTCGTGGTAAGTCATTTTTTAATTTTTTTTCAACTAATGGTTGTTCATGGAATGCCTCTATTACTTAGGGTTTTTTGAGGAGCCGTTTTTCTCAACGAATCCATTTCCAAAAGGCCACATTTTTAACAGAACACCATTTTTGTGGAGCGTGGCATAGAGCTTTTGAAGGGATTCCTAGAGGAATCAACTACCTCAGGAGTCGATACGTGTACCCCAACATTTGACGAAGAAAACTGAACTTCTAGCCTTGATTCCAGGCTAGAATCTGCAACTTCCATTTGAAACTTCCCTCGTCAAGTAGCCAAGGATGGATGGCTACCGCCATCGAGAAATATAATAGTAGTAAACTACGAGAGAAGTCATTTCCCTGTACTTAACTGGCCCAATGTCGACGTTAGCGCCTCTGGTGGCTACGGACAGCAATAAAAGAGTGAACATTGTTTGAATGCAGGTTTCTTCTTTACCGAAAGTGAAATGGCGGCTTTTTTGAATAATTAAATTATTAACTTTGATTTTATTTAAGATTTATTAAAAATAAGGTACTGTAAACGCTCAAAACAGTTAATTGCAAAGCAATACATTTGTTGAAAAAACTTGCTAAAATTTACCGAGCAACTGTTTAGAACGATAACAGAACTTATTTTTAAGAAATCCAAATTAGATGCAACGAGATTCCTTAAGGGGGTCAAGGAGATAATTGAACAATACAAAAATTGAGAAATCTTCAAACAAACTTATTTTTTTATTCCAATATTATAAATATATAGTAACTAAAAATGTTTGTATTATAAGCTTTGTGTTTACCTTTTTACTGCATCTCGCATCATCGCAAATTCGAAAACACACTATTATTGGTGTCGGTTTTATCTAATTAATTAATAGGTATTTATGATCACAGAATGTTTTCTCATTTCTCTAATATAAATAATAGAAGAAATTTTACGTTATGATTGTGAGCATTCAGTTTTTGATTGATAGTCTTTGGATTTAATCATTTGTTAAATTTTGTATTTTGTATGTGTTAAAAAAAGATAAAACATTTTCGGGCAAGTTGCTGACAAAGATAAATTAAACCGAATTGTTAGAAACGATCGAAGTAATTAGTTCAATAATCTGCCACACCATGCGAAATACGCTACGGGTATGTGCACAAACACACTTCCAGATTATTACATTAAACAAACGTCTCTCGTAGTTTACTACTATTATATTTCTCTATGGCTACCGCGTTCTATCTTTTTGTTGAAATGGAGGCTTATATAGAGTTTCATTTATCTACTTTATGATCAATTAACAAAATTGATTGATTTTTTTTTTGCTGATATGACATTTAAATATTTGAAATTTCCATTTCGTATTCTTGACACCTAAGTGAACTTTAAATAATTATTTCCTATTTTTGATTTACCGTATTTACTATAGATTTTATCCCTATTCAACTTTTAGTATCGGCGAAAATTGATCAATTCTTAACCCTGGGTCCTATAACTTATATATTTGAGGATTTTTATTACCTATATCGCCTGACCATTTAACTCAACTCTCGATTTCATACTGGTGCAAGTTGATTTTATTGAGTTAATTCTTGAAGCAGAAGCTGACCATATTTATCAATACAATTTTCAAAAATTGTTTTGACAGGCTGTCAAAAATAGGCCATTTATTTTGTGAAGCTTCAAACTTTCAAAAATCATAGTTTGAAGACTTCCCAATAAGATAAAATAAATTTGAAGTCGATATTTGGTTCAGAAGCAAAGTTATATATAAGTCAATTTTCCAGAATTTTTCCTGGAGTGATTTTTTAGTGGAAAATGTTCAAATTCTGCTGAAATGAGCTCGAAACTTTCGTTTTTTTTCTGAAAAAAATTCACAGTTTTCCCTTTGCCAGTTTTCCAGAAAAAAATTAAAATGTAAGAAGGTGAATTTTCCTTAACTTTACTTAAAAAAGTCAATTTTCCAGAATTATTCCTGGAATGCTTTTTCATTGGAAAATTTCAAAATTTTCCTATAATGAGCTCCTTATTTTCCTCTTTTTTTCTGCAAAAATTTCACAATTTTCCCTTTGCGAGTTTTCCAGAAAATAATTAAAATATAAGATGGTGAATTTTACCTTGATTTTGCTTGAAAAAGTCAATTTTCTAGAATTATTCCTGGAGTGATTTTTCACTGAAAAATTTTTCTATAAGAAGCTCCTGACTTTCCTCTAAAAATTTCACAATTTTTCCTTTTCCAGTTTTTTAGAAAAAAACTTAAATGTAAAGGGTGAATTTTCCCTAATTTTGCTTAAACAAGTCAATTTTCCAGAATTTTTCCTGGAATGATTTTTCAATGGAAAATTTTGAAATTGTCCTGTGATGATCTGCTCACTATCCTCTTTCCCTTTAGAAAATTTCATAATTTTCCTTTGAATAGTTTTCCCGAAAAAAAATAATTTAAAAGAGGTTGCATTTAATTTAAAAAAAAAAACTGGAAAATTTATAGAAAATGAGAAAATTGAGGAAAAAAAAGTTGGTTTTGGGACTTTTTGGGATCTCCTCTATTAAATGGCTATCTTGAAATTTCGAAATTTTGACTTTGATTTTTGGTCATATACCTATAACATAGGGAACTCTTGAAAATGAGAAAAATCCCAACTTCAACCGGTCATAGCTCCGTGATGGTATGTCTTGGAGGAAAACTTTTCAAGGGCAGATTGTAGAGCTCGTCGAGATCTACAAAAAAGCTTTTTAGGTCTTAACCTCTACGATTTACCATTTCAGAGATATTCTACATGGAAGTTTTAAAATCGTTGAGCCTTCTTCTTATTTGCGGCCAAAGAATCAAAGTCAAAATTTCCCGGATTTTCTTTCACTACGTCATAGAAGACGTGCAGAGAAATGTCGGAACTCACTTTTCCCCCCTCAATTTCCAATTTTTCCAGGAGTTTCCGGCCCCCTTCTATAGCCCACAAAATGGAAAATCAAAATTTTCCGAATTTTGGAAAAACACAAATTTCAGTATATAGAGAAAGTCAAAACAAGCAGAAAAACTATTTGGCATTTTCCCCTAGGATGTCTTCTAAGTCTGGAAAAAAATAAAAAAGAAAATTTCTAAAAGGGGCTTTTCTAGTTTGACATGGTCTCATAGGTCTGGAACGCCTGGATCAATTTATTTCAATGAATCATATTCCATTTGATAAAGAATTAAATTACCTACAAAACGGTTTAATCAAAGATTTTCATAGTTATCTAGTTTCCAAGTTATAGGCGTTCAAACTTGAAATTTCCCCAAAAATTAACCTTGACTTTGTTTCAGGTAGAGTTTCAACTTCCAGGACAGCTCCTAGTGCCCTTTTGTTCATTAATTAATGTTATTATTGAAGAAACTAAACAAAAAAAAACGCATTTTTCCCATTAAGATAAAACAAATTTGAAGTCGATATTTGGTTCAGAAGCAAAGTTATGACATTTTTTCTAATCGAACTTGAAAAATATTATGAAAAATTGTTTTGACAAGCTGTCAAAAATAGGCAATTGAGGATTTTTATTATCTATATCTCCTGACCATTTAACTCAACTCTCGATTTCATACTGGTGCAAGTTGATTTTATTGAGTTAATTCTTCAAGCAGAAGCTGACCATATTTATCAATAAAATTTTCATATATATTTTTTTTTAATTACTTTCCTGGAAACTTACATCTGTATATTTTGATGGAACTGCGTGAGAGTAAACCTCTATTTATTGATTTTATTTAAAGTGTTTCACCAGCAATTGATTTTATACTTTGAAATGATTCAATACTTGAAAATATATACTAATTTAATTTGAAACTTATTTAATTGTTTTATTGGTATTACTTATGTCAAGATTTGGTTGAGTTATATGCCTTATTTATTTCCTTTCGGGAATTATCATTCACCGTTTGCTGTTTTTTTTTTTTTTAGGTGTGTTTGTGAAGTTTCACTCTTCAAGATTTAATGTAATTTAATTATTTTTCTTTTTTTTTTAATTTAGTGACGCCCTTACCATTCTGTACTTATTAAACTATTGACCCACCCCTAATAATTATTCGCTGAGAAAACTGAGCATATTATGGGCCTCTTGTTAATTTTTTAACAAAAGTGGTTACATAAATTAGCCCACAACTTAAGGGGCTACGAAACATCACATATTAATATCATAAAAAAATTGTACAGTTTGGTTTTATCTTTTACCTTTTGGCATAACTAAACTACTTGACTTTAGGTATATCAGTATTACTTGGGTGAATTCGAATTAATTTA